TGATCGGTTCCTGAAGTCATACACAATAATAGTTTTAGACTTATCCAAGTGGGAGACTGTTGGATTAATGTCTAAGTCCATAACTATAATTGGTAAGACTTGACCCGACCCGGCATGGTCCATTTGGGTTGCATGGCATCATGCATCATGCATTTGGATAGACTATAATGAGAGAAATTACACTTAAGGTTGGTTAATATATTATAAGTTCTAATATATTAATAAGGTTATTTAATTAGTATTGATCAAGAATTAATTTGGAATTAATTAAGTGATCAAAAGGAGACTAATTAAATATATGGGTTGATTGTGTAAATCATTCATTGTTATATATGTGGACTTGTGATCCAAGATTCCTTATGTTAGACTAAGTCCATGGGGTGACCCATGGATACTCCATGGAGGTTAAAATCCATTTGAGCATAAGGAATGGGTAAAGTTATCAGTTACATGGTGTAACCCTAATAGCCACCATATAAAAGAATCCCATGGCTCAAGAAATTGACTACTAATGTGTGAATATGAGGGCTAGACGATTTCAAGGAGTGTTCCATTTCTCTCAAGTCATTCCATGTGCATTTGGTGTTGTGTGAACCATTTGAGGTGTCACACTTGGGGCACTAGGCACTCAAGCTTCATGGAGACAAGCTACATCAAACAAAGGTATGTATTCTATCCATTTGATTACCCAAGTATCAAGTATTGTATGCTAGATAGGGTAATACCTTGGAAAGTTCATAATTGCATGTATAATAGAGAAAACATAGATCCAAGGTATTTAGGGTTGCATGTACACTTAGGAGTGTTAGAATGCGCAAAACCCATCAATATTGACCCTAGACATGATTACATAACCGCCCAGGTTTAACCGCACTGTCCAACATCTAAATAATTTTGTTTTGTTCTACTTATGACACTGATTCTGGTACTTAGGTATACTTCTATACTTTTTTATGAAAATATTTATATTTTTAAAAGTATACTTTTAGTTTAGAGCGCTTCGGCCCCTTTAGTGTTTATAGTTGTATACCATGTAAGGTTCGGTATACTTAGTTCACTATAAACAAGAGCTCTTATACCAATCTGTTATACCCCCAAACCGGAACAGCGGAAACGTTCGGGGGTGGAGGACGTCATATGTAGTATCACAACAATTGTATCATAGAAATCATAGTAAACACAACCACACATTGAATACATATAAGAAAAAGGTTTACATTTGTTTAAGTCTTGTTTGAATACATCAAAAGTGTAGATAAATATAAAGACATGACTTTATTCGCTCCGACTTCTCCCAAAACTCCAGGAAGGTACCTGTCTACTGATTTCCTGAGAATAACAACCAGTTTTGAAAGAGTATCAGCATAAAGCTGGTGAGTTCATAAGTGATGTTTGTGTATGGAAAACTGGTTGATAACTCTGAAAAATGTTTGCATGACTCCAAGAAAATCAAATATTTTCTGTAGTAAAAGTGAGATAATCTTAGTAAAATGTTGTATGATTGGACTACCACTAGGTGTATTGTATGATGAACTTTGTATGAAAAACCTCTATATGAAATGTTCTGTTTGGAAACCCTGGTTATTACCAGTACGTATAGTAGTTTTAGTTTTCCTTGAGAAACCATGTATTTGTCCGTACTTATGCTAAACAAGTATTGTTCATGTATTATTATTACGTAAGTAAATCGTTGTTATCTACATTGTGAGTGTCATGACCATACTTTTGACTTGATATGGAGCGAATCGGGCACCAGTATCTTTTATGACTTTGTCACCTGTAGACCTGCCGGTCCTACTGTAGCTAGCAGCAAGGTGCGGGATAGTGACTCCTGTATAGATCTATACACAAAAATCATGCTCTCCCTCGAGGAGATTCTGATCACAAGTGCTATTCCTTTACCCAGTTAAGTTTGTGAGTGCTCAAGGACGTGTCTCCAACTAGATTAACGAATTTACAAGTAATAATGCTGAAAACCCTTTTTTATAAACAACTGAAAGGTTTATAAAGTATAAGTTCATAAACTGTTGTATGAATTCCCAAACTATACCTAATATAGTTTGTGTGTATGTATTTGTATAACCTTGTATGAATTCCCACACTATACCTATTATAGTTTGTGTGTACGTATTTGTATAACCTTGTATGAATTCCCAAACTATACCTATTATAGTTTGAATGTATGTATGTCTATAACCTTGTATGAACTCCCAAACTATACCTACTATAGTTTGTGTATTTGTATGTGTAAAATCATGTATTGATCTGAAAACTATGTGGTTAAGTTTGTACGTTGAAAACGTCCCTTATACTCAACATAATACAAAAGGGATAAAATATCTAAAATATTTTGTTAAATTGTAGAAACTGTGTGTTTGTACTGATTTCGTCCGTTTTAAGTTTACTGAAATCCGTTTGTATAACTTTCATAAAATCATTTATGTTTGGCTTGTATCCCCCCTGAAAACATTAAAAACTCGGAAAATGTAGGGGTATGAACTCACCTCGAGTGAGTGGTTTGTATGAAAGATCGGTATGAGATGTTGAATGTCAAGTGAAGCCTCGAACACAATTTGATCCTATTTATCATGAAATAGTACATATAGGAGTCAAATTTTAGGAATTTCACTACTAGACATGACAGGAAACAACTCTAGGGACTTGGAAACACTTGACCTAAGTGTTAAAACCATATGGGATTGAGTGAGGGAGGTGTACGGCCACCCTAAGGGTGTGTACGGCCATGGGTGTGCGACCCATGAGTGTACGGCCGTACACTCATGATGAGATGTGCCTTTGAGGTGTTTCCAAGGTTCTAACTAGCATCCAAGAAGTGTTCTAGGTCCCATGTTTAGTTGCAATTCAAGTTTGAGGCCTAAAATGATCACCAAAGTGGGTTTGCGGCCCTAAGGGGTGTGTGCGGGAATATAAAGGGGTGTACGGCCGTACACCCTTCATGTTCATGCCCAAAATGTCGACTTTAAGGTGCAACAAGGCTAGGGTCATGTCTAACTAGAAGATAGGGGTCAAACTCTCACTTTAGAGGGCCTTTAAGGAGTGTACGGCCAACCTTATGAAGGTGTGCGGCCGTACTCTCTCCAAGACATGAAAAACATGTTGGACATGATGAATCAAGGCTTGAATCAAGAGATCCTTCAGGTATAACAAGCTAAAGGATGGAATACTCACGTTTTTGAAGCCTTGGAGGATTCACGGTTGAAGAAACTTGAGAGCAAAGAAGTAGTGTGCGGCCAAGGAGAGAAATGAATGAAAGAAAAGGGGTCTACACCTTTATATAGAGGTGGGTGTGCGGCCATGAGGGGGTGTACGGCCGTACACCCATGTGTACGGCCATACACTCCTCCTAAAGGAGTGTATGGCCCGGTTTGCTACTTTACAACCTGACAACTCATCCCTGAATTCAACCTTGGTTGCACTTAAGTTTAGAACACTTAAATGAACCCTTAAACAGTGCTAAAAGTTAACATAAACTAGTTTAACATTGATTGAATTGATTAGATGTACAAGATAGAAGTTCCGGGTTGTCATAAAATCACTTCATTATTAGTAGTTATGGATGATTTCTAGAAGGTCTCTATCCCTTTTAAATTAATTTTAACAAGTTTCTAATTAATTTATCAAGCTATGATAAATTAACAAACTATTTATCTCACTCTCTTAAATCTTTTCCTAATTATTTTAGCTCTTGAGGGCAACCTTAAAAAAACTTTTTTATTATTCTCAAAGTTATAGCTATTTGTTATGACATTGGACACTCATTTCCAACAGCGTCATGCCCTAGGCTACAAGTCATTTATTTAGTCGCCATGTGTCCCTTATTCTGCCACGTGTCATTCTCGGAACGACGCATCTTTTGTTGACTCGCAATGGGCACCCCGCACCCTTAAGGAAACGTTTCACACCCCTTTTGATTTTCTATCGACTTTTTCAAAATGACAACGTACTTTTCGAACGACCATAACTTTCTCGTGCAAGCTCCATTTTTATAAACTTTATATCCACAATATGTCTCATGGTGAACTAAAATATGCTCCTAATAAGAATTGGCTAAAATTTATACATTTTCTGATATAATGCAATAAATATAAAGACATACATATTACATTACCAAAATTTTACCATTTCACTACTTGAGTTTACTCTTAACTATATCTATAACAAATACATACAGTAACAAACAGTATGAGATTTTTGAGTCGTTACAATTTTCTTATTTCTTTTATATATAAGAACTTTTGTTTCCCTTTGTTAATTTAAACCTTGAAGATCTATGTAGATACACAACTCAACTTCATGAAAAAAAAACTCAATACACAGCGTCTAATCAAAGTTCTAAACCAAATATATGAGATATAATTAATGAAACATTAATGATTTAATATTTAAACACTTTTAATATTTTTAAATTTAGATGGTAAGAAAGATATAATATTATAATTGTAAGTTATATCTAAAAATAAAAATTAATCATTTGGCGTTTAGTATATCAATTATCCTTAACTACTAAACGACACAAATAAATAAATATGGAAGAGTTGTAACGCTTCGTTTTCATTTAGTTATTTAATTAGTCGTTTTAATTATTTTCTTACGTTTTGATGACAATACAGAATACAATGATTAAAATAAATAACAAATATATGTGAATAACATTAAAGGGATAAAGTTATAATGACGGACAGGGACTAAAACTGGACAATAGGAAATATTTATAACGTTAAAACCTAGTTAATAAGGACTATTATGTGTTAAACCAAAACCTTAGGGATCAAAACCATCAAATTGTGAAAGATGCATGCAAGAGCAAGAGGCTAGTCACGACCTTTGAAGCCCAAGGAAAACAGGGATCGGCTCCTTATACATCTTTTATGGTCCGTATATCCGTTTTCATAAGATCGTCTAATAACACAATCAGTTTCAATCTTCCCTTTCGCCCTCCCTTCACCAAAACCCTAGAAATCCATACCAGCAGAATAAAAATGTCGGACCGAATTCCTTTCCATATCCAAGAGGAGATCATGAAAAGGCTTCCTGTCAAATCACTGGTTCAGTTTAGATCTGTCTGCAAAGAATGGAAGAGTTTGATCGACAACTCTAAATTTATCGCTGTTCACAGCGTTACTCAGCAGCAGCATCTGCTTTTAAGGTACGAAGATCCGGTAGAAAAATCGGAAAATTATGTTTCTTTTGTGGATGACGACACTTTCCCTCAACGGAGGTTCGTTCATACCCTTCCCCTGTCTGTTAAACTTCTTCTAGGCTCAACCATAGTCGGTAGCTCTTATGGATTGTTATGCTTTCGTGGTCATTCTGGGAAACGCGAGGATCTCTGGACGAAATTGGAAACAGAGACTGTTGTTCTTTGGAATCCTTCGATTAGAAAGACAATTACTATTCCTATGCCTAACAAGTTTAATAAGGACCATGAAACTGATCTTGGTTTTGGGGTTTGTCCTGTTACTATTGACCCTAAGATCGTCGAGATCACGCAATTTCACAAAACTAGCTACCATTGTGAAGCTAAAGTTTACACTGTGAGCTCAGGCAAATGGAGAAATCTGACTAGCAATCTTCCTAGTAAACAGTTTCGTATCTTCTGGGCTCAAGTGGTTGTTGATAGGTTTATTTATTGGTGTGCTTTTGACCCCATGACTATAGAAAACGAGTTACCAAATCATAATTTTATAATGTTGTTTGACATAACTAATGAGAATTTTGGAGTGGTAGAACTCCCAGATCGTTTAAGGCGCCACTCTCCCTCTCAGTTGTGTATTTCTAAGGTAAGGGAGTCTCTTGTCATGCTCGAATATGATAGCTTTGTGAAACGTGCTTGTGGTGTATGGATGATGGAGAATGGTGTTGAAAAATCATTTACAAAGAGATTTACTGTTATGGATCCACCATATTGGTCAAAGTCAATAACAACACTTGGATTTAGGAAGAGTGGTCAACCTATAATGGAATTGGAAAATGCTCATGAACAGAGTGAACTTGTGGTGTATGAGCCCTACGCTGAACGCTTTGATGATATTGGGATATATGCAATAACTGAATCATTCGTCGTGAATTCGTATATAGAAACTCTAGTTTTGCTTGGTTGATCTGATAGTAGTAGTTATTGATTATAAATCTCATATTTTTGTGAGTAGTAGGATTAAAATATCAAGTTATTAGGAGGCACGTGAGTGATTTTTTCATGGGTGTAAACCTGAAATTTCTTGTTTTTGCTATCTTAAAACTGTGATGCTTGCATATTGATAATAGCAGAGTAATTTAGCTTATAATTGTTTGCGTGATCATATAACTACAAATAATAGGAATGGGAAAAATAAGTGATGCTACTCACATTGTTATCTCCTTGGCTTCATATTTCTTCTATCAATCGCAATTGCTTATAACATATATCACATATATTAATGATGTTCAGTGATTAATAGTCTAATTTTGGTGGTTATGTTCTATTGCTTTCTATATGGATACAATGCTATTACTAAGTATGAAATAAATGTTTTTAGTGTTGCTTTAAATACGATAACAATCAGTAGGTCTAATTGAAAATTGTTATATGACATAAATAGTCACCCAAATCGTCCTTTAAGGCGATTGAAAGCATTTGTTGAAAGTGTGATGCGTAAATTGTGGAGCTATTGTTTATTAGCATAAAAACTTTTTAAATACACAATAATTTATGTTTTATAGGATTGTAGAGTACAATATTTTAAAGTGTAATTTGTTGTGTAGGAAGAAAAAATATTGTGTTCGGATTAACTCATATAGAATATGTTTATTTTTGTCACGTATCTATTTATCTAAGATTTCAATTGTTCAAATATTATTTTGTTCTCTTGCATGGTGGGCTTACTCAAGCATTTGATGTTTATATATTTGATGATTCGTTATACTCCTTAAAAAATGTTCTATGATCTGAATTAATTGCTCATTGTGGGTTTGAAGGGTAAATGTGGTACCAGGGTGTAGGGCAACTCGTTTGATTAGTCCATTCTTTTTTTTTTTAAACATTACGAAAATAGAAACCTATGTTCTTGTGATTTGAATCTTTAAATTAAATGTCTATATAGCAACATCTCCAGCTCTGTTTTTTTGTTTAGACCACAAGCTTTTACCTAGTGCCTGATGAATGGTTGCTTCCCAAGTGAGATGATTTATCTTTTCAGGTACCCAAAAAAAAAAAAAAAAAAAAAAACAGTGGAGAAGCATGTGTGGAAAGATTTATTTTGGGTATTTAATTCATAAAAAAAATTCTTAAACATGGTGCTGAAAGGCGGAAGATGATGGTTACCTTTTTCTTAACCATTTCGTATTTTAAACTTAATAGATTTCTAATGATTTAGTTGATCTTAAAATCTTATATATTTTACGCTTAACAAAAACTAGAGAAAAAAAATATGGTAACATATAGTATTTTATGTAATATACAAAGAATATATTAATTTTATATTCGAGTATTAAAATAGTTATTTAAAAAAACACATGCGCATGCTGGCCCTGACGGTGGCAACCCGGGCGACCGCCCAGGGTCCACGTCTCCAGGGGCCCAAAATTTATAGGTATTAAGTGTGTATATACAAAAAAAAAATATTACATAAATGATTTTTAGGGTATAAAGTTAGTTCAAATTCAAATTATTTTAAAACATAAACAATTTAAATTGTTTATTATTGTTAATTGAACACGTCTGTAATGAAAAATAAATAATATTTTTTTGAATCTTTATTATATTTGTCAATAAGGGTTTTTTTTCTTTTCGTCCGGGCCCCTATATATGTTTGGACCGACCCTGAATAATCGTTACATACAAATGCGTCAAGTCCAAACAATGTGTTTGATGTTTGTGTCATAGACGACGTGAGTGGTGAAAAATGTCATCGTAGTCCTCACCATTTTTTGAGTCCTCAAGGTCCACACTATATATATAGTGTTGTAAAACTCGCCGAGTTAGCCAATTACTCGGCCGAGTACCCTCTACTCGGCCCCTTATGAAAGCGAGCAGTGTTGTAAAATTTGGCCAAGTATGTGATTAATACATATCATATACATAATGATTTGTTATTTAACGAACACATATTGATTATTACTACATTCACATCTTAAATTTTCAGTAATTATTCACAAAGTGAAACTATTGTGTGGTTTTTAGTTTTTGTATATTCATATTTATCTAATTTGTTATTTATTTTAATAAACTTATCGTTTTAACTTATTATTTTGACATATATAATTTCCCTAAAAATATTTGTACATGAATTACCGAATCCGAGTACTCCACGAATACTCGTTACTCGGTAGTCGGTTGAACAGGTACCAAGTAGCGAGTCTAGAACCATGACGTGGGTGGTGAAATGTGTTATAGCAGTCATCACCATTTTTTTAGTCATTACAGGTCCAAACTAACTAACTAACTAACTATATATATATATATATATATATATATATATATATATATATATAATTCATAAAAAAATTCTTAAACATGGTGCTGAAAGGCGGAAGTTGATGGTTACGTTTTTCTTAACCATTTCGTATCTTAACCATTGGTTCAAATTCAAATTAGTTTAAAAGATAAACAATTTGACTTGTTTATTATTTGTAATTGAACACGGCTGTAATGAAAAATAAATGATAATTTTTTAAATCTTTATTATGTTTATCAATAAGGGTTTTTTTTCTTTTCGCTCTGGCCCCCATATATGTTTGGACCAACCCGAATAATCGTTACATACAAACGCGTCAAGTCCAAACAATGTGTTTGATGTTTATGTCATAGACAATGTGGGTGGTGAAAAATGTCATCGTAGTCCTCACTATTTTTTGAGTCCTCAAGGTCCACACTATATATATATATATATATATATATATATATATATATATATATATATATATATATATATATTATATATATATACACACTAGCCGTTTACCCGCGTCAAACGACGGGTGTGAATATTTTTTTTCGGAAATTATTTTTTAGAGGCAATTAGTGTTTTTGCGCAAATAGTTACTATAAAAATCAACAAATTATATTTTTTTAGTCTAAGCTTTTAAAAAATACAAAAAAAAGATTATCTAAGTTAGATATCAAATAAAATGTAAGTAGTAGGTCTTGAAGATGCTCCAATCTATTTCAATAGCTCCTTCACCAAATTTGATTTTGTATCTTGACTGCTCAAAGAATCAAAAACCTAAAAATAAATGGGAAGCATGGTTGTTTTCATGTTAGGCTGATATATTGTTGAAAAAAAAATATATCTAGGATTCAGTTTTTAATCAAAACCAGTTAACTTACAATGAGCAGGAAATTTGGTAATTTAACTGTAACATCACATTACGGTATGGATGATAAATCATAAACATATAATGTTCCAAAAAACACGCATTTTATCGGAACGATTAACTATATGGGTTGTGAATTATAGCCCGTGAGATTCCACCTACAATTTCGATGGTTATATGAGTCTTTTTTTTTTTAAAGTTTAGAAGTTCAGGCTATTTTGTCTTTTATTTATTTATTTATTTATTATATGTCTAATTGTTTCTAGTTTTATTATTCAAAATTGATATAAAGACATTAGTTGTTTTCTTATTTTCTTTATTTTACATTGATTTCATAGTTTTTCAAGCATTTTTTTTATGTTTTTTTGACAAAGAAATGTTTTGTTGATGTTATCGTTTACAGTTGTACGATACAACATACGGATAAACAAAATGCTATATGTAAGTTACAAAATTGAAGAACTTTGACATAAATATTATCCAAATTTTAAAAGCCACGTCCTGTACATTTAAAATATATAAAAGATATACATAAGATTTGTGGTTTGCGGTTTAAGAGTTTGGATTAGTGTTTACGGTTTGTGGTTTGGGGCTTGGGTCTTGGAGACGGCTAGTTCGTTAGTTTCTACATCATAAGTTAGTTTGTCGTCACGGATCGGGGAAAAAGCTAGTTCGTTAGTTTCTACATCATAAGTTAAGGGATGAACATAAAAGAATGTATTGTATTATAAAATAGTATAAAGAATAAGCCCTGATAAATAGTTAATCTCACTAACACCTTAAAAAAAATTCAAATAAAAAAAAGCTACTAAAATAGGTATAAAAATAATTAAAAAGGATGCCTGGAAATAATAAATCGAATTAAGTCATCAATAGTGAGTAAGATTGGAGAAAACTATTTTTTAATATGAATCACGATGTGTCGAGATTTAGATGTGCGTAATGTATTGAATATGATTTCGAAACCTTACTATCAAAGAATTATTTTATTAGTGTATTGAAGTAAATCAGTTAGAGAGTTCTTGACTAATATTCGATCACCTCCGACTCAATTAATGTAAAAAAATTTGTTATGTTTTTAAGTTTACATGGCACCTAAAAATCAAAGAAAAAACTTACATCAATCATCAATCATTACTATATTATTGGTAAACATTCTGTTAACACATTGTAACAACCCGAAACTTCTATCTTGTACACTTAGCCAACTAAATCAATGTTGCACTTGTTTTATTGACTTCTTGTGCTGTTTAAGGGTTCATTTGAAAGTTTTAAGCTTGAGTAAGACCAAGGTTGAGTTTAGGAATGAGTCAACAAGTTGCATAGTGTTGAAACCGGGCCATACACACCCTTAAGGGGAGTGTACGGCCGTACACATGGGTGTGCGGCCGCACACTCACCTCTTGGCCGCACACTCTCTTTTGGGCAACATACTTATCCCTATATAAAGGGTATCCCCCTTTCCTTTCATTCCTTTAACACCTTGGCAGCACACAACATCATTTCTCTCAAGCTTCTTCAACCACAAACCCTCCAAAGCTTCAAGAACGTGAGTAATCCATCCTCTAACTTGATATCTGACGAGCGGTCGTTGTCGCGTCAAAAATAAACCTTATTTCCACTAATCTAGCGAGTGGTAAGTAAGGGTCGGATCCAGAGGAGCTTATGGTTAATAGTTTAGTTACTATTTTGATTTAACGATAAAGAAATAATGATTGATTTGAGATTTATAAATATGATGATAAACAAATAAATATATGATTTTAATTCAATTAAAAACAATGATCGCTTCCGGTTTCAGAATTAATAA